GCTCAACACCCTCTTGGGGAGCCTCTGGGGGGATAATTACTCTTTGGAGAGAGGATGTGGTAGAACCATTAGAGGAGCTGATAAGTACTTTTTTTGTATCACTAAAGTTCAGGATGGTGGAGGATGGTTTCATATGGGTGTCAACCAATGTGTATGGGCCAAATAATTATAGAGAGCGGAATGAACTATAGGAAGAACTCTATGGAATTCAAGGACTAGGGGAAGGCCCTTGGTGTTGGGGGAGATTTCAATGTAATAAAGTTTATAAATGAGTCAAATAATCCCCAACAATCTATCACAACCAGCATGAGGAGGTTCAATGAATTTATCAACAGTTGTAATTTGAAGGAGTTCCCTATGCTACAAGCTCACTTCACTTGGTCCAATTTCCAGGAGAATCCATCTTGTTCAAAACTGGATAGACTCCTCTCCAATGAAAGTTGGGAAGCACACTAGAGGGGTTTGGTGGCTAGAGCTCTGCCTAGAGTTACCTCGGATCATTGTCYCATAGAGCTAGGCCAAGAGACCTTTGGGCTTGAACCTAAACCCTTTAGGTTCGAGAACATGTGGTTGACACACCCGGACTTTATGCATAAGGTGAAGGAGTGGTGGAGAGAAGAGATTAGGGGGGTAAAGTGGAAAGGGGTTAGATTCCACAAGAAATTAAAAAGTCTGAGATCCAAAATAAGAGATTGAAACAAAGAGGAATTTGAGAGATTGGAAGAGTTAAAATCCATATTGACAGCCCAAATTGAGGATTTAGATTTAAAGGAACATCAAAGGACCATGAGTGCACAAGAAAGAGAATTGAGATGGAAGTTGAAGAATGATTTGGAAGAGATCCTATTGAGAGAAGAGATATCTTGGAGGCATAAATGGATCAAAGAAGGGTATGGGAATACCAAGTTCTTTCATGCTATGGCCCAATGGGACAAGGAGAAAAAATTTTGTGGCAAAGATTGAGATTGAAGGAGGAGAAATTGAGTCACAAGAGGAGATAGCCAATTGCTTTGTAACTCGCTTCAAATCCATTTTGAGTAGGCCGCTAGAGAGAAGGGTGAGAGTGGAAGATCTAGATTGGCCAGGTCTATCAGCCGTTGAGGTGGCTTGGTTGGAAAGAGACTTTGAAGAGGAAGAGATAAGACAAGTTGTTTTCTCTATGGACAGGTCAAAGTCTCCTGGACCAAATGATTTTACCATAGCTTTCTATCAAGAGTGTTGGAACATTATCAAGGAAGATTTGTTTGAGGTGTTTAGGGAGTTTGAAAACAACCATGTGATTAGTCACGGAGTTAATGCCACTTTCTTAGCTCTCATCCCAAAGAGATCAGATGCCAAACACCCTAAAGATTTCAGGCCGATTAGTTTGGTGACTAGCATCTATAAGATTTTGGCAAAAGTGCTTTCTTTAAGGATTAAAAAGATCCTTTTGTCTCTCATTACTCAAACCCAAGGAGCTTTTGTCCAAGATAGGCAAATTATAGATCAGATCCTTATAGCAGATGAATGTGTGGAGGAAATGAGGAGATCAGGCAATCAAGGTTTTATTTGTAAGTTGGACATTGAGAAGGCCTATGACTCAGTGGATTGGGATTTTCTATTAGAAGTGCTAAGAAAATGTGGATTTGGGGATAGATGGTGTAGGTGGGTGAGCGGATGCATAACATCTTGCCAGTTTTCAATTCTAGTTAATGGAGGGGTCAAGGATTTCTTCCCAGCATGTAGAGGGCTCAGGCAAGGAGATCCTCTTTCCCCCTTTTTGTTCACACTTGTGGCAGATGTGCTCAGTAGAATGATTTCTAAAGCAGATAGGGAAGGGCTAATAAGTGGTTGGAAGATAGGCAGGAATAATGTCACGGTGACTCATCTTCAATTCGTTGATGATATCATCATCTTTTGTAAAGGGGGAGACTTAGAGAGAGTGAGGAACCTAAAAGATCTTATTAAATCCTTTGAGTCTACTTCAAACCTAATGGTTAACTTTGACAAAAGTTGTATGGTGGGAATTAATTTGGAAGTTTGGGAGGTAGAGGCTATAGCAGGTTGTCTAGAGTGTTCCATGTTTGATTGGCCTTTAACTTACTTGGGTCTTCCGTTAGGAGCTAACCCAAAAGAAAGTCAGTTCTGGTATTCAATTGTGGAAAAGTTTGAAAAGAGGTTGGCTTCTTGGAAAAAAGTTACATTTCGATAGGGGTAGAGTGACCCTGATTAGGGTGACACTTGCTAATCTTCCGGTTTATTTTCTTTCTGTTTTCAAGATACCCTCAAGGGAAGCCAAGAAGCTAGAAAAAGGTGATGAGGGATTTCTTGTGGGAGCCAGGGGAAGAGAAGAATGATCATTTGATTAGGTGGGAGATAGTTAGCAGGAGTAAGGAAGAAAGGGGATTAGGATTGAAAAATCTAGTTCTTAAGAATGAAGCTCTACTAGGGAAGTGGCTTTGGAGATGGTCATTAGAGAGAGAGAGAGGTTGTGGCATAAGGTGGTGAATAGTATTCATGGTTGTTCACAGAACGGTTGGGATGCCAGGGTTTCTCGACAGGCGACTCTTACAACACCCTGGAAGGCCATTCACGGAATTCTTCCCCATTTTCTCAATCTGGTCAGGTATGATGTTAATTCTGTAAACAATGTTCTTTTTTGGGAAGACATTTTGGTGGGCAACCAACCTCTTAAAGACCTTTTTTCCCTCTCTTTACTCTCTTTCCCTTTATAAGGAAGAGCCTGTTTCCAGTCTTATTTCCTCCTCAGCTTCTTCTGTGGCCCTAAACTGGGATTTTGGTTTACGTAGAGGGTTACGTGATGATGAAAGTGCTTGTGTTTCAGAACTATTGTCTTCACTTGAGTCTATTTGTTTAGATCCCCTCAAACCTAACACAAGAATTTGGACCCCTAACCCAAAAGGTTTTTTCACTTGCTCCTCCTTCTTCAAGTCCCTTTGCTCCACTTCTGCACCTCATAACTTCCTAGTTAAAGAATTCTGGACTAGGCCCATTCCCCCAAAGATTGTTGCTTTTTGTTGGGATGTTTATTATGGTAAGATTAATACCTTTGAAAACCTACAAAAGMGGAGACCAAATTGGTGCATATCCCCTATTTGGTGTGTTCTTTGTAAATCTCAGAATGAAGACTGTCACCACTTACTGATCTCTTGCTCCTTTGCTACAGCTTTATGGAATTGGAGTCTTATGTTGTTTGAGTGTAGGTGGAACCTACCATCTGATACTAGCTTGTTGTTTAGTCCGTCTATCTTTGAATGGCACACAAAGAGAGGGAGAATTATGTGGAAGTGCATAAGAGCAGCTTTGTTATGGACAGTTTGGGAAGAAAGGAACACCAAAATCTTTTGTGAAAAAAAAAGGAGCTTCTCGGGAGTTAAAGAATGTATTCTGACAAGGGCAGTTCAGTTGTAGAAAACTCTAAAGCTCTTTAATGCATACTCTTTAGATGACCTATGGAGAATCTGGTTAGCAGTAGCTAATGCTTCTACCATGAAGGACAGACATGGGGTTGAATGGATGCCACCAAGGGAGGAGTTTATCAAGGTGAACTTTGATGGAAGTAGCCGAGGAAATCCAAGACCTTCAGGCATAGGAGGAGTGCTGAGAAACAAAGGTAGTAGCATTATATCTTTGTACTCAGGTCCTGCGGGTGTGGGAGACTCTTTAAGGGCCAAATTACTTGCTATTGTACAAGGAATCCAGCTTGCAAATCAGCTAGGCATAGAGCATCTGATCATTGAAGGGGATTCCCAGGTGATAGTGGGTTGGCTGAAGGATCCGGACACTATGATTTGGGGTTTTAGAGATCTTCTCAAAAAGGTTAAATGGTTAACAAGGAATATGACAATCAGAGTTTCAGTGGGTAGGCAGATCAGCAAACTCAATGGCTGATTCACTTGCAAAACAAGGGGTTCTCCGAGATACTTTATTTTGTGCTTCTGTGTAATTTCTTTTGTACTTATAATTCTATAACTAGATTTAAAGGAAATGTCGCATCTCGTGCCTTTCCATGGGTTGCATGTAACTCTTATTTGCTGGTTTAATAAATCTTACTCATTTACCAAAAGAAAAATTACTTCCTGGATAAACTCATTTATTAATAACTGTTTTATGTGTTTTCGTTTCCACTTTTCCTGAGGAAACTTCCAGTCACCAAGCGAAATAGGATGGATGTTGCAATACCCCCCCCCCTTGAAGCCTTCTTCAAAATGATGATTTCAGAATCAGTTCCCTTGTATGAAATCATCTCATCTGACCATTGCAATACTGATTTTGTGGATCAAGCATCAGCAAATGCAATGGCATGGCTACTTCATATTGATACAGTGGTGTCAACGTAAACAGAAGCCATGCCAAGCATCCTCTTAGTTCAGAAGAAACAAATAGAAGGCCTTCTATATCCTAAACACTCATCACACGTTTGCACTAAATTGCATAATGGGAAAAAAAAAAAGGCCAAGTTAACAGGGGAAAAACTATCTTTTCAATTCCAGCCTCCCAGATTGCATATAACTGCATAAATTGTATATGGATAATAAAATTAATGTATTTGTCTTCAGAAACAGTATAATGGATCCAGAACAGCTTGTTGGAAAATTTGCATGTTAATCATAAGGAGAAATCTTCAATAATTCATAAGGGAATATAAAATGTGTTTCGTATTATAAGAAACTGATAATAACCCCATATTCACTAGAACCAACACGTTGATAAACTCTCACTCTCAAAGTCTGATTACAATGATAAACCATTGGAAGGGCTATTATATAAAACCAAATTTCATCATAAACCGAATGGGAAAAAAATGTAAATAAATAGCCAAACAAGTATAATCATCGTATATATGAAACCTAGAGGATAAACAACATGAATCCATATGCAGAAACATCAAACACTACAGAATCTATATCCTAAAAAAATATTTCAGTTACTGAATTCTTGAAATGTAAGATTTCAAAGAAAGGATAAGAGGGAATAAAAGGAAAGAATAGGGAACTCACTGAAGAAAAGAAGGCCACCAAAAGCTCCAGCCAAGGAAGAATAGAAAAACCGACGGAGAGTTAGATCGAGGCAAGCATCCCATTTCGCGTTTAAGTCGAACTGTGGAGGAATTTGCTTGTTTTCCGCCATCGGAAGCCCGAACCTCACTTCTATGCTTATTTCGCACTTCTAGGTCTAAAGGCGGAGGCTGCCAAGTTTGTGATAGTTAAATGAATCCAGTGACAGCAACTCGAGAGGGTCCAACCCGGTCCCGGACCGGTCCGGTCCGAACGTTTACACACACAGACAAACTATAGGTTGCCCTCAACCAAAAACGCCAGGCTTTTTATTTTTTTGGGTTGGGCCTGCGCCCATCTCCCAGGTAGATCAAGTTGGCCCTAACTAAAGCCCGAACCCCAGCCATGTTAACAGTTCGAAAAAGATCTTTATTACATCTTTATACTATATTATATAGTGGTATAGGCCATATGCCACGTCAGCATCCCTCTCTTATTCTTTCACTGTAGTCCCATTCCATCTCTCTCATATTTCTAATCACTTAGCTAACCCCCCTCTTAAAATTTTTCCCAATCTATCTTTTTCACCTAAAATTCCTCCTAAAACACCTCTTATCTATAGTTCTATACTAGCGAGGATTTGTGTTTATATTTTAATGTCTTAATTTTTAAATAATTAATAATTATTTATATATTTTTAATCATTTTTTACAATACAAAAATAACAATAATTAATTTCAGTTAGATTAATAATCTAATCTCTAATAAGTAACTTTGTTTTGGTATTTAGAGATATTTACCACAATAATGAGCCCCTCTCCAAAGATAACTTTGTTTTGGTATTTACATACCTACTAAAAATAAATTTATAACAAATACAATAAATTAAATTTTAAAAAATTTAAATAACAATAGCTTAATCTCTAATAACTATTGAAAATTTGTATTAAATAACAAATTAAAAATATATTTATACATAATTATTGAAAATATATTTATCACAAAAATACAATAAATAATTACTAAAAGTACAATAAATACTAATTTTAGTATATATAAATATATAATAGATATAGATAAGCATTTTTTGTTATTAATCAATATTAATTTTTGTAAAAAATATTCTCTAGAATTATTAATTGATATAAGGGAAACAGTGTTTTTATTATAAGTACAATAATAATTGTAATTATTATTCTATTTTTAATATATATTAGTATTTAAATTATTTATATTTCCATGTCAAATTTTATTAAATATGTAATAATTAATTTTCAGCCTTAATAATTATTTTAAATTTGTTACATGACTTTGTTATTTAATCTATTTTTTATTATTTAAATAAGATTTAAAATATTATTTAGTTATTAAATTTTTTATATTTAAAAAACTTAGTTATCGAAATAATTTTATTATTTAATTTTTATAATATTAATAATTTACTAGATTGAATAATCCATAAAATAATAATTTATACTCTTATTACACAATTTTGTTATTAATTTTGTAAAATATAAAATTATTACTAATTTGAATATTATGAAATCTATTATAATTATTTTTCTACTTTTTAATTAGTTTTTTTTTTAATTTATAACATAATTTCATTATTTTAAACAGTAAAAATTTAGTTATGCTAAATATTTTTGTTATTTAAAATCGTTAATTATTTAAATATTTTATTAATATTTCAAATATTTAAATTCTTCTTTATTTTAAAGTTATTACATAATATGAAATGTTTTGTCATATAATTATTTAGATTTTAATATTTTATTATTTAAAATATTTAGTTAATTTTTTAATTATTTTTAAATATTTATTATTTAAATAGCATTTAATTTTTTATTTAAAATTTTAAAATATTTTATTAGATATCAAATTGAGTAACCCATAAATTTATAGTTTATATTGTTATTACATAATTTCATTAAAATTTGTCTAAATATATAAATTTATTAGTAATCATAATATTGTTAAATATATTATAATTATTTTTGTTTTTTTAATAAATATTTTAAAGTTATGGCATAATTTTGTTATGATATTTAAATATTTTTTAAATTTTTTAATTCAAACTTTCTTTAGATAGATATAGATGAGAAAGTGGGGGAGAGGATAAATGGGAATTAGGGATAATTTATGAGAGAATATTGGGTGTGTTTTTTTATCTATTGGTTGATTGTAAAAATGGCATTGGATAAAATAAAATAATTTTTTCAAAAAAAAGGAGGAAAAACATAGAACTCCTTGTCTTAGATTACATGCCCACTAAATCATCTAAAAACCAAAAATGTGGTTAAATTAATTTGGGTAGTTAAATTGATTCATGAAGTTTTTTTGATATTTTTAATAAGGGAAAATTCCTGATCAATACCTTATACTTTGGTTCGAGTGACAATTTGGTCCCCAAATTTTAAAATGTGACAATTCAGTACCTAAATTTTCAAAATGTGACAATCCAGTACCCGAACTTTCAAAATGTGGCAATCCAGTAGTTAACCAGTCCGTTAATCAGTCGTTAAGTGACATTTGAAAAGTAAAAAATGCCCTAAGAATGCCATCTAATTCTCTTTATCAACCATCCAAACATTGACAATAAAATGAATAGTCCTAAATTCTAGATTCTTCTAAACAGTCACCAACTTTTTGAATAAAAGAGGCTGGGATTTAGGACTATTCCGTTCTTTGTCAACATTTGGATGGTTGATAAAGAGAATTAGATGGCATTCGAAGAGCATTTTTTATTTTTCAAATGTCACTTAACAGCCGATTAATGGAATGATAATGGCAGGTACTAGATTGTCACATTTTGAAAGTTTGGGTATTGGATTGTCGCATTTTTAAGTTCAGGGACCAAATTGTCACTCGAGCCAAAGTACAGGGTACTGATCGGGAATTTTTCCCTTTTAATAATTACTAATATTATTCAGTAAATATCAATACCTAAACTATATCTTTTCATAATTTTGGTAAATTGGAAAATTTAATTACTAAAAATTACTTGCTGAATATTATTGATTTTGGTAATTTAATTTCATAAACTTTTGAAAATTAATTATTGAAATCAATAATTACTAAAAAATTAATAATTAATTAAGATATTGATAATTAAAAATTATCAGAAATTTTTCATTGGAAATTTTATTTCAATAAATATAAATCACATAAATTGTATTTTTCTTAATTTTAGTAAATTGGAAAAGTTAATTACTAGAAATTACTTGCTAAATATTATTGATTTTGGTAATTTAATTTCAGTAATTTTCGAAAATTAATTATTGAAATCAATAATTACTGAAAATTAATAGTTTATTAAGCTATTAATAATTAAAAATTATAATTTTTCATTGGAAATTTATTTCAATAAATATAAATTTATTTCAATAAATATAAATTTATTTCAGTAAATATAAATTTATTTTTTTACATTTTTATTAATTTTAATATTATCAGTATATTTTTAGTAATAAGTAGTTATTGATATTTTCAGTAATTTTGGTCAATTTATTAATATTTAATGATATTATCATAATAATAATTAAAAATTTTCAGTAATTTTTTTGTGAAAATTTAATTTTAATAAATATGCATTACTTTTTATATTTTTAGTAATTTTGATATTTATTGTAACTTTTAAGTAATAATTAGTGATTTTGGTAATTTAATTACTAAAAATTACTAATTTTGGTTATTTAATTTAGTGAAAKTTAAATTATAAAACTTCTAGTTATTTAAATAATAGTTGAGCAATTTTTTAATAATTTCCATAAGTATTGGAAATTACATTTATAATGACCATAACTATTAGAAATATATTTATGGGTTTGGGGAATGACACCCCGGGTAGGAATGGCAATGGGCAGGTTTGGAACTGCGATCATACTGCTCGTCCTGACCTCGAGTTTTAAATTAATCCCCATTTGGAAAAAAATTATCCTACATCCTTGGTCCTCAATAGAGACGTGTTCCCCATAGGGGACCTGAATCCCCGAATTTTTTAATTAAAGGTTTGTTTTTAGAAAGCTTTTTATTTATATATGTCTTGATATATATATATATAATATAAATAATATTATATATTTAATATAATATATATACATGTATATTTAATAAATACAATTGAGGTCGGGGCAGGGTGTGGACTTCACTTTTTTTCTATGTCCCCATCCCCAATTGGGTATTCCTATTAATCCCATCTTCACCATGTCCCCACTAAGGTAGTCTCCATCCCCATCTTTGCCTGGTCGGGGAAGCTGGGTACTCAGCAAGGATGGGGAAAATTGTCATCCCTACCCCGAGGTTGTGTAGCCCCATAGCGTAATAAGTTTTAAGTCCAATAAATCCTAAGATCTTTTTCCTGTGCAATGAACGAGGGTCTGCTAGTACTACATAAGTGACTTATATAAAACAAAGCACCCATTAAAATGATATCAAAATAAAAATAAAAATAAATGAAAATTTAAAATTCATTTAGATTCCATTTAAAAAAACTTGGCTTGCACTTGGACCAACTCATATCGAATGGGAATATCTCAAGGCTCCTTGCATTTGTTGTGGCCCAATTTCAAAATACCCCATAGCATGAGATGAGGCATGTATATGTAACATGTACAATACTATGTAGTTACAATGCAAGGGACAAAGGATGCAACTTGAGCAAGCCTAACTTGAACTTGAACTAACCCAGCCAACATTTTTGCATGGGTTGGGCTTTGATTTTCAAGCCTTAGGATAGGGTTAGGAAGAAAACCCTAGGCTTTTCTATTTTTGGTGTTGGACTTGGCACTATCCTTTAGGTAGCTCAAGCTCATCTTAAACCCAACTTGACCTTATACTAATCCAAGCCTAGCCCAACTATACACAAGCAACTTTTTAGTGACCTTACCCAACTTAAACCTAACATGCATGCATGATACATGCACAAAATTCCTAATAAGCCCACTTGAGCCCAATTGACCAATCCAAGCTTGACCCGAGCTTGGATCCAACCTGAGTGTGTCAATTTTTAGTTCAAACCAAGGTTGGGTTAGAAAGATCATGCTTGACCACATGCCCAATTTGGGTTGAGGCCTTAAGTCTTGTATCTAGATTCAGGCCCCATGCTTTTCTATTTTTTTTGTGTTGGGCTCAAAGCTATCTTCTATGTAGCTATAGCCCCAGCTTAAACCCACCTTGACCTTAGACTAATCCAA